GGTATACAGTGTGTCTGTATATATAACAGGTGTACAGTGTGTCGGTATATATAACAGGTATACAGTGTGTGGGTATACATAACTGGTATACAGTGTGTCGGTATATAAAACTTGTATACAGTGTGTCGGTATATATAACAGGTATACAGTGTGTCGGTATATATAACAGGTATACAGTGCGTCGGTATATATACCAGGTATACAGTGTGTCGGTATATATAACAGGTGTACAGTGTGTCGGTATATATAACTGGTATAAAGTGTGTCGGTATATATAACTGGTATACAGTGTGTCGGTATATATAACAGGTATACAGTGTGTCGGTATATATAACAGGTGTACAGCGTGTCGGTATATATAACAGGCATACAGTGTGTCGGTACACTGGTATACAGTGTGTCGGTATATAAAACTGGTATACAGTGTGTCGTTATATATAACTGGTATACAGTCTGTGGGTATAATCAACTGGTATACAGTGTGTCGGTATATATACCAGGTATACAGTGTGTCGGTATATATAACAGGTATACATGTACAGTGTGTGGGTATATATGACTGGTATACAGTGTGTCGGTATATATAACAGGTATACAGTGCGTCGGTATATATAACTGGTATACAGTGTGTCGGTATATATAACAGATATACAGTGTGTCGGTATATATAATAGGCATACAGTGTGTCGGTTTATATAACAGGTATACAGTGTGTGGTTATATATAACAGGAATACAGTGTGTGGGTATATATAACAAGTATACAGTGTGTTGGTATATATAACAGGTATACAGTGTGTGGATATATTCGGTATATATAACAGGTATACAATGTGTGGGTATATATAACAGGTATACAACGTGGCGGTATATATAACAGGTATACAGTGTGTGGGTATATTTAACAGGTATACAGTGTGGCGGTATATATAACAGGGATACAGTGTGTCGGTATATATAACAGGAATACAGTGTGTGGATATATATAACAGGTATAAAGTGTGGGGGTATATATAACAGGTATACAGTGTGCGGGTATATATAACAGGAATAAAGTGTGTCGGTATATATAACAGGTAAACAGTGTGTCGGTATATATAACTGGTATACAGGGTGTCGGTATATATAACAGGTATACATGTACAGTGTGTGGGTATATATGACTGGAATACAGTGTGTCGGTATATATAACAGGGATACAGTGTGTGGGTATATATAACAGGCATAAAATGTGTCGATATATTACAGTTATACAGTGTGTGGGTATATTTAACAGGTATACAGTGTGTCCGTATATATAACAGGTATACAGTGTGGGGGTATATATAACAGGTATACAGTGAGTGGGTATATATAACAAGTATACAGTGTGTTGGTATATATAACAGGTATACAGTGTGTCAGTATATATAACTGGTATACAGTGTGTCTGTATATATAACTGGTATACAGTGTGTGGGTATATAAAAGGTATACAGTGTGTGGGTATATATAAATGGTATACAGTGTGTGGGTATATATAACTGGTATACAGCGTGTCGGTATATATAACAGGTATACAATGTGTGGGTATATATAACAGGTATTCAGTGTGTGAGTATATATAACAGGTATACAGTGTGGGGGTATATATAACAGGTATACAGTGTATGGGTATAGATAACAGGTATACAGTGTGTGGGTATATTTAACAGGTATACAGTGTGGCGGTATATATAACAGGGATACAGTGTGTGGGTATATATAACAGGCATAAAATGTGTCGATATATTACAGTTATACAGTGTGTGGGTATATTTAACAGGTATACAGTGTGTGGTTATATATAACAGGAATACAGTGTGTGGGTATATATAACAGATATACAGTGTGTCGGTATATATAACAGATATACAGTGTGTCGGTATATATAATAGGCATACAGTGTGTCGGTTTATATAACAGGTATACAGATACAGTGTGTCGGTAAATATAACTGGAATACAGTGTGTCGGTATATATAACAGTTATACAGTGTGTGGGTATATATAACTGGTATAAAGTGTGTGGGTTTATATAACAGGTATACAGTATGTCGGTATATATAACAGGTATACAATGTGTGGGTATATATAACAGGTATACAGCAGTGTGTCGATATATATAACAGGTATACAGTGTGTGGGTTTATATAACACGTATACAGTGTGTCGGTATATATAATAGGCATACAGTGTGTCGGTTTATATAACAGGTATACAGATACAGTGTGTCGGTAAATATAACTGGAATACAGTGTGTCGGTATATATAATAGGCATACAGTGTGTCGGTTTATATAACAGGTATACAGTGTGTGGATATATTCGGTATATATAACAGGTATACAATGTGTGGGTATATATAACAGGTATACACTGTGTTGGTATATATAACTGGTATACAGTGTGTAGGTATATATAACAGGTATACAGTGTATGGGTATATACAACAGGTATACAGTGTGTGGGTATATTTAACAGGTATACAGTGTGGCGGTATATATAACAGGGATACAGTGTGTGGGTATATATAACAGGCATAAAATGTGTCGATATATTACAGTTATACAGTGTGTGGGTATATTTAACAGGTATACAGTGTGGCGGTATATATAACAGGGATACAGTGTGTCGGTATATATAACAGATCTACAGTGTGTCGGTATATATAACTGGTATTCAGTGTGTGGGTATATATAACAGGTATTCAGTGTGTGGGTATATATAACAGGTATTCAGTGTGTGGGTATATATAACAGGTACACAGTGTGTGGGTTTATATAACAGGGATACAGTGTGTCGGTATATATAACAGATCTACAGTGTGTCGGTATATATAACTGGTACACAGTGTGTCGGTATATATAACAGGAATACAGTGTGTCGGTATATATAACAGTTATACAGTGTGTGGGTATATTTAACAGGTATACAGTGTGTCCGTATATATAACAGGTATACAGTGTGTGTGTATATATAACAGGTATACAGTGTGCGGGTATATATAACAGGAATAAAGTGTGTCGGTATATATAACAGGTATACATGTACAGTGTGTGGGTATATATGACTGGTATACAGTGCGTCGGTATATATAACTGGTATACAGTATGTCGGTATATATAACAGGTATACATGTACAGTGTGTGGCTATATATGACTGGTATACAGTGTGTGGGTATATAAAAGGTATACAGTGTGTGGGTATATATAACAGGTATACAGTGTGTGGTTATATATAACAGGTATACAGTGTGTGGATATATATAACAGGTGTACAGCGTGTCGGTATATATAACAGGTATACAGTGTGTCGGTATATATAACTGGTATACAGTGTGTGGGTATATATAACAGGTATAAAGTGTGTCGGTATATATAACAGGTATAAAGTGTGTGGGTATATATAACAGGTATACAGTGTATGGGTATATATAACAGGTATACAGTGTGTGGGTTTATATAACAGGTGTACAGCGTGTCGGTAGATATAACAGGTGTACAGTGTGTGGGTTTATATAACAGGTATACAGTGTGTCGGTATATATAACAGGTTTACAGCGTGTCGGTATATATAACAGGTATACAGTGTGTGGGTTTATACAACAGGTATACAGTGTGTGGGTTTATATAACAGGTGTACAGCGTGTCGGTAGATATAACAGGTGTACAGTGTGTGGGTTTATATAACAGGTATACAGTGTGTCGGTATATATAACTGGTATACAGTGTGTGGGTATATATAACAGGTATACAGTGTGTCGGTAAATATAACTGGTATACAGTGTGTCGGTATATATAACAGGTATACAGTGTGTCGGTATATATAACAGGTTTACAGCGTGTCGGTATATATAACAGGTATACAGTGTGTGGGTTTATACAACAGGTATACAGTGTGTGGGTTTATATAACAGGTATACAGTGTGTCGTTACTTGGTATTGTTCTGGCACTTTAAGTATGGGAGGAGGATACGTTTGGTTACCGTTGATGAAGTAACCGGTACACCGAACACAAGTACATAACTGGTTCTCATTATACTCGTAAATCTAAAACATGTAATGTTTATTTACATAAATTAATGATAGTCCATAAATCCATTGGACAGAGTGTTATAACTTGGTTTTCATCTTGTGATTTATTCACTGTATTGGATATCTAAATTGTTCATTTGTATGTTTGTATGAGTTTTACTCGATTGTCTTGAACATTTGTCAGGAATGAGTTCTTCATTTGCTAAACCACAGGGTTTGTAACATGAGCGCCATCATTTTAGTTTATCTTCCCATATGCATATACTATTCTTTAACATACATTTATGAAATATTTACAAGTACTCCACCCCAAGAAAAGATATTTGAAAATCGTTAAACACGTATGTATAATAATTACAGGTGCTCCTGGCGCCAGTTATTTGTGGCTAAACATAAGACTCCCGCATGGAACCAAACCACCTTGTAAAAATATTAAAACAATGTGCCATTCCCTTGATGGGTTTATGGCCAGGTTCACGTGCATGCACGTGTTGACCTTGACGGAAGCATTTAAACGCACCAGTAGATCACCACATTGCTCTTTAACCAAATCGTGTGTTTCTATTTTCTTAACATTTATGTGCATGATATATTATTTACATTGAACGTTCAAAGTAACGACGTCAGCGAGTGACTTTTTAAATTTACATGCAGCGGCTCTCGGGCTGACGAAAACACAAACAATTTAATTTTGGGCTGACGAAAACACTAACAATTTAATGATGGAGACAAAACATATACAAATGGTCAACCTTTACATAATTCCAACTACACGTTTAATTTTGTTCTGTGCTCACACGGAGCACATGCATAGTACAAGAGTAATTTTAAAACAATAATGTTTTAAAACAAACACAGCTAGCTTTTTAAACTGCAAAAAATAAAGACATTTAGGTATCTAAGAGAACAGTTTCCAATAAAAGTCACGTGACATGCTAAATACTTACATTAGAATATGGTAAATGACGGAAGGCCAAATCTTCGGACGCTCCAGGAAATTGTAAATCCGAGCTTGAATTTTCCGAACTCTTGCATCTTTTCGGTGCATTCGATAGTTTAACGGTTTCCCCAACAAAGACATTCGTGGTTCTGCATAACGTACGCTACCCGTCCCACGCCGAGAGAACTTTTTCAGATCCTTTTCAATATCTTTTTTCCTCTGAGATTTTTCCATATCAGAATTACCGTAGTCGATGTCTGCAAAATCCACTCTAAGTGGTCGCCGTTCCTCCCCTGATGGTGACAGTGGAGGTGAGTTCGACGTGCTTCCGCACGGTGGCGAGGAATCACCGTACGAGGACTCTAAAAGGGTAGCCGTGGACTCGCCACCGCCGTCGCGATATGCTAGTGTGAGCGATTCCGTCTCATCCTCGCTACTGCTATTCCCGTTAACACGCACAGTAAGTATCGCGTTAGACTTACGTGGCATGGCGCTTTTGATTTCGTCACAAGGTAAACATCATACATCGAATTGTCAATGGCTTTTCATATTTCCGCTTCGGTATCAATTAGGTACATGCAATTATTGTTTAAATAGTTCAGACGTCAACAGGTGTTGGAATACCGTCACTGAAAGTAAAAACACACGGTACTGCTTTCGACCGAACGGCAATCGTTGCCTCAGACACTTGTGTGAAGAATTTCGTTTCTTGCTTATCCATTATTTACACGATTTTCATTGACGAAATAAGGACTGCAGTCAAGTGATCCGGCTACATTGTTGCACTAATCACTCCGGGAAAAAACACAACAGATAAAAGCCAATCACAATGCCAATTGTTGGTGACAATCTAAGCACCTGCGTTCTTATATTGTTCAATTCCATCGTCAAACCAGATTTAAACATGTTTACTTCCTACATTGTTCCCCGGTGTTAACTGGCTCTTGACTGTCGGCCTTGTATCCGACACGAAGACCCGGCATCCCTGTAAAACATAGCGATTTAAAAGAGCTGTTGTTTATGACTTTAATATGGCAGATCCGGCATGGTCCATAAATGTCCGTAAGCCAGACCGCTAACAAATTAATTTTTGCGTTAGATTAACTGACGAAACCATACCTTAAAACGTCACTCTAGAAAACCTTATATTTTAAAATTGCTGTAGGCTTTCTATGTTACAGTGAACGTTAACAATATCATTCGGAGTCGGGGACGGTCTACACATAATCCAGCTGTAATCAGGATTAGGAAGATAATTTCCATTATGATACATGTATATGCTCGGCGAGGCTCGCCATACTGCCGCTGACAGGCCTGTACTTACAACGATGAATTCCTTCAGATATACCAAGATATTGGAGATCAACGGAAAACGATCTTTATATATACGTGTGTGTGTTACATAGGCTGATTAAAAGGATGGCGGTAGACGAATCAAAATCGCGCTGACCGTATAATCAATTTAAACCGCCACATGATCATAACGACTGCGGTAGATGTTCAGAACATTCGATGTAATCAATTATAACCTTACACACATGTTAAAATTAGCATGTATATATGTACGCTATCATATTGAGTATATCACTGCGATACGTGCATACACATGATAACAACACGGTCATAGTAAAAAAATATTTCTCTGGAAAATATTAATCAACTGTATTTAAAAAAAGGGCATGTAGTCTTACGTGTATGAATTTAATCATGAGTAATGTTTCTTTAACCCAGGAAACTGCATTATTTGGAAATTCCTGTTAAATATTGAAGTATCAGATAACTATAACAAAACTCGGCTTTGTTTTCGTATGATTTCATTCACCTTTTCTTGAATTACACTTCACCATTTTCCCTACAAGAAAATCCAAATGTAATTCGTTCAGCTATGTGACGTATACGGGGCTGCGTAATAACTGACGTGAAATATTTACACATTATACTTGGAATCAATTTGTACATATTTGCTGTGAAGCTGGATCTAGACCAGACACTCGTTCTCATGAATACTAACTAGGTTTTCAGATAACTACAGCAAGACTGCAATTCATTTCCTTGTAAAATAGTGTTTCCACTATTTGATTAAAATATTCAAACTCATGTGATACGTCATTCGACCTATAAACCGGTCCATTGCACATTTTGATCAAAACTATTGAATCAAAATAATATGATTTAAATAATACAAATTTTGAAATGTTATTAATGCAAATAAATAACTCGACTCTGAAGACCCAGCATCAGGCCCTTAAGATTAAGTTAACTAAAAATTAACAAAACTGATACGAACTATATTTAGTCTAAGAGCTAATCAGAGAGAGATCGATGGGGCCCGAGGTGCAGGTCAAACCAATACGATATGTACCAATGAATACCAATAATAGGTATATACACGCTCTGTATCACCAGGGCTGCTCAAAGGGAGGTAACACTAGTAAGTATTTACATAAATTTCTCTGTTACTGTATCAATAAACCTATTGGGGTGGCTACAATAGATCACTTTGGTGTAGCATACACATTTCAGTATAAGGATAAACAGTCAAAAAAATGCAAAATATTTTAAAAGAACAAAATGTACAACCGATATTGGGTATGTAAATATTGCAAATGATATTAACTATACAAAATTTGTATTTGTACACATTTTATCTTCGATAAAACTAAAAGTAATACCCATATAAACAACGAGATACAAAGACACATAAATAGATAAAAAGAAACGCAATGAGATACAAGGATACACAAAATTATACAAAGAAACACAAAAAGATACAAAGAAACACAAAAAGATACAAGGAAACACAAAGAGAAACAAGGAAACACAAGCAGAAACAAAGAAACACAAGCAGATACCAAGAAACACAAGCGGATACAAAAAAACACAAGCAGATACAGAGAAACACAAGCAGAAACATGAAACACAAGTAGATACAAAGAAACACAAGCAGAAATAAGGAAACACAAGTTGATACAAAGAAACACAAGCGGATACAAGGAAACACAAAAAGAGAAACAAGGAAACAAGCAGAAACAAAGAAACACAAGCAGATACCAAGAAACACAAGCGGATACAAAAAAACACAAGCAGATACAGAGAAACACAAGCAGAAACAGGAAACACAAGCAGAAACAGAGAAACACAAGCAGATACAGAGAAACACAAACAGATTCAGAGAAACACAAGCAGATACAAGGAAACACAAGCAGAAACAGGATACAAACGAAGAAACAGAAAAACACGAGCAGATACAGAGAAACACAAACAGATTCAGAAAAACACAAGGAGATACAGAGAAACACAAGCAAATACAAAGAAACACAAACAGATACAGAGAAACACAAGCGGATACAAGAAAACAAAAACAGATACAGAGAAACACAAGCAGAAACAGGAAACACAAGCAAATACTAGGAAACACAAGCAGAAACAAAGAAGCACAAGCGGCTACAAAGAAACACAAACAGATATAGAGAAACACAAGCAGATACAGAGAAACACAAGCAGAAACAGGAAACACAAGCAGATACACGAAACACAAACAGAAACAAAGAGACACAAGCGGATACATAGAATCACAAGCGGATACAAAGAAACACAAGCAGACACAGAGAAACACAAGCAGATACAAAGAAACACAAGCAGATACTAGGAAACACAAGCAGAAACAAAGAAACAAAAGCGGATACAAAGAAACACAAACAGATATAGAGAAACACAAACAGATACAGAGAAACACAAACAGATACAAAGAAACACAAGCAGATTCAGAGAAACACAAGCAGAGACAACAAAAACACAAGCGGATACAAAGAAACACAAGCAGATACAGAGAAACACAAGCAGATACAAAGAAACACAAGCAGATACAGTGAAACACAAGCAGAAACAGGAAACACAAGCAGATACACGAAACACAAACAGAAACAAAGAAACACAAGCGGATACATAGAAACACAAGCAGATACAAAGAAACACAAGCAGACACAGAGAAACACAAGCAGATACAAAGAAACACAAGCGGATACTAGGAAACACAAGCAGAAACAAAGAAACAAAAGCGGATACAAAGAAACACAAACAGATATAGAGAAACACAAGCAGATTCAGAGAAACACAAACAGAGACAACAAAAACACATGCGGATACAAAGAAACACAAGTAGATACAGAGAAACACAGGCAGAAACAGGAAACACAAGCGGATACATAGATACACAAGCGGATACAAAGAAACACAAGCAGATACAAAGAAACACAAATAGATACAGAGAAAAACAAGCGGATACAGAGAAACACAAGCAGATACAAAGAAACACAAACAGATACAAAGAAACACAAACAGATACAGAGAAAAACAAGCGGATACAGAGAAACACAAGCAGATACAAAGAAACACAAATAGATACAGAGAAAAACAAGCGGATACAGAGAAACACAAGCGGAAACAAAGAAACACAAGCAGATACAGAGAAACACAAGCAGAAACAGGAAATACAAGCAGAAACAGGAAACACAAGCAGAAACAAAGAAACACAAGCGGATACAAAGAAATACATAAAGATACAGTGAAACACAAGTAGAAACAAAGAAAATAAGCAGATACAGAGAAACACAAGCAGATACAGAGAAACACAAGCAGATACAGAGAAACACAAGCAGATACAGAGAAACACAAGCAGATACAAAGAAACACAAGCAGATACAGAGAAACACATGCATATACAGAAAAACACATGCAGATACAGAGAAACACAAGCAGATACAGAGAAACACAAGCAGATACAGAGAAACATTAACAGATACAGAGAAACACCAGCGGATACAAAGAAACACAAGCAGATACAGAGAAACACCAGCGGATACAAAGAAATACAAGCAGATACAGAGAAACACAAGCAGATACAAAGAAACACAAGCAGATACAAATAAACACAAACGGATACAAGGAAACACAAGCAGATACAGAGAAACACATGCAGATACAGAAAAACACATGCAGATACAGAGAAACACAAGCAGAACCAGAGAAACACAAACAGAAACAGAGAATCATAAACAGATACAGAAAAAACAAGCAGATACAGAGAGATACAAGCAGACACAGAGAAACACAAGCAGAAACAGGAAACACAAACAGATACAAAGAAACACAAACTGATACAAAGAAACACAAACTGATACAAAGAAACACAAACTGATACAAAGAAACACAAACAGATACAGAGAAACACAAACTGATACAAGGAAAAACAAGCGGATACAAAGAAATACAAGCAGATACAGAGAAGCACAAGCAGATACAAAGAAACACAAACAGATCCAGAGAAACACAAACTGATACAAGGAAACACAAGCGGACACAAAGAAACACAAGCAGAAAAAGGAAACACAAACAGATACAGAAAACACAAACAGATACAAAGAAACACAAACAGATACAGAGAAACACAAACTGATACAAGGAAACACAAGCGGATACAAAGAAACACAAGCAGAAACAGGAAACACAAACAGATACAGGAAACACAAACAGATACAAAGAAACACAAACAAATACAAGGAAACACAAGCAGATACAGAGAAACACAAACAGATACAAGGAAACACAAACAGATACAAGGAAACACAAGCTGAAACAGGAAACACAAACAGATACAGAAAACACAAACAGATACAAAGAAACACAAACAAATACAAGGAAACACAAGCAGATACAGAGAAACACAAGCAGATACAGCGAAACACAAGCAGAAACAGGAAACACAAACAGATACAAAGAAACACAAACAGATACAGAGAAACACAAACAGATACAAGGAAACACAAGCAGACACAGAGAAACACAAACTGGGACGGAGGAGAAACCAAAATAAAACAACAGACATGAGGAAAACTTTATAGAAATAACCGTATAATACAGATAATCAATATTCATATAAACATTAGGACTGAGACGGACGCTTTACCTAGTGAAACTATATTTACTCCATACCGGTGTGACCGCTTGCATATTTTTATAGCGTTCTAGTATACTATCTGGATTGTGTCGTGTCATAACTAAGCGGAAATTAGTAATCATTTCGTTTAATTTACTACACCGTTATTAACCAGTACGAAACAAGAACTTGTGCGAGTCTTACGAATCTATACCACAGTATAACTGGGTAACGATGTACAATGCTTCACACACGGAGCAGACGCGAGTTCCTAACAACGTTTTGAATACATCAGTTGACTCTCAATAGACCCTTTGGTGCCATTGTGCTGAATAATGGTTATTAGTAACAGCATCTACGTAACAAAGCTTTGTCAGATACTCTTATATACATCACACATCATCTTTATACAATGGCGGGTCAGCTTGCTGTACATCAAGTTGTATATTATTTGATAATATGAAGGTCAGTTACTACGTTGGATATACATATCTTTGATTGGTAGCACTATTAAGGAAAAGCGGTACTACTTCCTGTGTATGATAATAGCTCTGTTACACTACAACAAGCTCCTCTCGTCGTATTTGCATGAACACGTTTAATGGTTGACTATTTAACTCTATAACATCGCTTTGTTAGATATCAGTTACACAATATGAGTCAAGCGCTAATAAACTATGTAGTTCATAATTCATATGATATGTGTTTGTCGTCAGAACTACTGACACCTCAAACCCCCGAGAGAACAGCACAACGTCAATAAAGAATAAATACAGCTCCAGTTTAGAATGTCTGTATAATATATAATCGTATTAATTGTATTTCTGGTGTAAGTGGTATACAACATCACGATCCTCCCCACTTGTATAGCACTGTTATGATACCCCTGGGAACAACTAGACCAGGTTATACGAATCGTTTTACTATCGAGAAAGATCATTTTGTTCGATATCAGTTTCCACGTGTCATTAACGTAGTATGCTTCCGTCGAGTTTATCAGATTATTGGCGGTGTGTAACGACACGTTTTCCTTGTTTATAATATTCATTGTGTATTGAGTATTGACACCTGTGAAATGTTTTACTTCAAGTAAAAATATCTAAACCATAAACTATGGCGTCAACACGCAAGAACAAAATAGGATTTCGAAAAGCGATAGGGGACAAAAAAATAGAGTTGGAATTGGATATTCCGCAAAACCCAAAACTCCATAATAAAACCAGATTCTGTTAAAGCATAGTATTTCCAGCACCAAAGATATGTTTTGGTGAAATCCGAGACATCATGAACGTACCTAGTAATGTAAAATACTAAAATCTTGTTCATGGTGCAAACCGACTATTGGATTAGGAACATTATGTAAATATGGGGCGCACTGCCGGTCATTTTGTTTAATTGTGTTATGATGTTTTTGTTTTCGCTTGAGCTTGACGTGTGTTTATTTTATTTATTTTATTTACTTATTTATTTACTTTTTGTTGTTTAGTGCGGTTTACATATCCTAGCAACATCTGAGGTCATATGAAAACATATTGGTTTAACATTACTTACATTAACATTAACAAGAGACACACTGGGTTGGTATCGATGAACAGTTTTTATTTGATGAAAATGAATTCATTAAAAGATACCTTGCTTAATCGTAATTATAATCGAAGTAGGCCTTATAAAGACAGTCCTCAAAGATATTCTATACAAACACTTTATTTCCTTCTCATACTCAAAATGACTTTGTTTTGACTATACGATATGGCTTTTTGTCATTAAATTGTACAATCCATTAATTTATGCAGTTTCGTCCTGAGAGATTGTTTTGACATTTGACAGCATAATGGTAACCTTTACAAGTTTAAGAAACATTTCCCTATGCGGTTGTAGGTACATTTAAGATAGTAGTTTCCTTAACTACCAGCACATAGACAATGTAACATAAATGAGCGACACCACCTACACTATGCTTGTACTCGCTTTAAGTACCTTAAAAAATGGAAAACCAATTTTTCGAACTCAACATCGATGAAAATACGGCAGAAAAAAAAAAAAAAAGTAAATATTTGCATGGAGACCATTGAAAAAATACACGGAAGATCAGTTGTTCCGGAGTGGTTAGCATCTTCTACGTCTTCGATGACACCTGCTGTTGTAGATCTAAGTCGAATTAAAATAATGCCATGTCTTCAAACCGAGAACTCGGGTAGTTATAACCGAACCACAAGGCAGTCTAATGAGCATTATCAACAACATCGAACTTCATATCACACAAAAGGTGGCACAATTATCCACGAGATCCCGATGGCGACCGTCACACTTGTCCACATTCTTCCTTAACCTGCCTATTTGGAAACCCCGTGTTGTAAGTTCGGCTGTTAGTAATCGACACATATTATGGAAGTCATGGTATTCGGAGTAAGGTATCTGGTACATTTTACTTACAAAAAATGTTTACCATAAAGTAGTTCTATTAATGCCTTAGCGCGAATCGTACATGCACTAAAATGGTATAACAAGCCACAAATGTCAACTACGCGACGCTTCATCTGCTGTGCACAGAAAATGCTGTTAATAGAAAACACCGTTCTGATTGGTCAATATAAATTCGACAAAACTTAAATCATCACATGTGAAATACAATTTTTCATATATATACTTAGTATTTGCTGTAGTGATTTTTTTTTAATATATAGGTTTGGTTTGGTTTGGTATTGTTTAACGTC